CATGAAATGGGGATGTCTTTGAGCTCGGATGGGGATTAGGGTTTTCCGAAGTAACATTTTTTAAATGCTTTAGAGATTTATATTATTTATTTTTTGGGATTTTTGACCGATTCAGATGTTTGGTTGCTTGGGAAATGAAGATGATAAGTCCAATGAAGTGTAAAATTTTAGCCCACCCTTTTTTCATGTTGTTGGTCCAAACAAGTATTAATACTAATAATTTTGAGTAAATTCCAAGGTTTTGGATCTCTGTTAACACTTTTAAGTTTCTTGCTTTATTGAGAATAGATAGTCATTTTGTGCTTTGTTTGACAAAAAGAGTCTGGAAGAATATATCACTTTTTAAGAATTAATCAATAATAAATATAGTTGTGTTCTATTAGGAAACTCGAGGATAATATGAGCAATATAACAAGCATTTGAACGAGTAGGAAAAAAGAGAAATTTGAATTACATTTTTGGTAGCACTGTTTAGGGTATATTGAATGGACTTTCAATCAAGCAAATAAAATATTATGAATTTATTATTGGATATTTTTCATTATTTGAAACACTAGATGATGTTTGATTCTGACATATAATTATCAAATAATTGTGGATTTTTTTTTTTTTAAATTTCAAATATTGTTTTGAAATGTCTAAAAATAATTATAATGCCCAAGTAACTATGATGCACCATCATGGACACGTGTGTCCGACATGATACGTTTCGTATATGTCGACACGTGACTTTTCAAAAAAGTATCAACATGACAAGTTGATTAAATTCTTTAATAATCTTCATTTATATAGTATAAATTTAGTTTTATACTAGTTATTAATTAATTTTTTTGAAATTTTTTAGATACGAGTACCTATTTATTATTTACTAATAACTTTGAGTTAAAAAATATATAATATTTTTAATAAAGAATAAAAAATGTTTATGGTAGAGTGTCCGAGGAGTGTCGGTATCGATGTGTCCGACACTTCCATGCTATAGAGCCAAGTAACTTCCTCATCGCTATAAACGGTGAAGATGTATAAGATGCTAAACATGCCGCTATGATCACCATTTAGCTACTTCTGGGTTCAACTACATATCTTTTACTAAGCAACATTTTTTACGTAATTATCGACTTTAAAGATATCAAAGCCTACCCCCCTCAATTTAAGATTCTTTGCTTATAAAAGTTGTTGCCCACACCTATTATCCTCCTCCTAGCTTTTTAAGAGCGCTGGATATCTTGACAAATAGTGGAAAACTTGTTCTTGTTGCTTCGGAAAAATCTTATAGTTGAAACTTCATTATAATGCCCACTAACATGCTTAAAGAAGACATTTCATGTAATTATGTTTTAGTAAATAACACAAACATGTGGTGGATCTTTCCTTGTAGATATAACACATACTGTAAAGGGAAGTTACCATAGTAATGACCATCTGCACTATTTGCCACAGGAACATACTTTTGAAAGAACTAAATCAGGACATCCCTTGTTGCAATTTTGAGTTGCAATGACAGAAGTTGACAGCGAAATAATAAAACCTGAGGTACATTTTACATGTCAGTTTT